TGGTGAAGAGATTACCTTTTTAGTACCAGTGTTATATGCAGGGTCATTAAATGCTAAAACATCACACCCTTTAAGCACCTGTATAAATGTGTGCTTCCACAAGTGGTAGTATCTGCCTTCTCTGTCAGAAATCCTGAATTTTAAACACTCCTTCAAAATGTCTCCGTTGTGCTGAGGGAACAATGCAAGACTTGATCCATTTGTGTTAAAGGTACTAAATCGATGGAGCTGTCCCTAACAGAGCCTTTAATGGGGATTATGATAAAGCTCAGTTTCAAATGTGCCAGCAGTTTATTAAGCAAATTGTATTTTTCTTGCATTTTAGCACAAAGCAACCTAAATGGACATTCGTTTCCAATTTTTACATGTTTCATTATAGTTTAGATGAAGTAATTCCCTTTTTTATAGCATAAGAGAGGGATATTGCTTAACATTCTGTGAGAACATCCTGGATTGTTACTTTGTCTCATGATTTTATTCCTCTGTAGAACCAGTACTTGAATATTTTTTTATAATTGCTTTTAGGTTGAATTGCTGGAATCAAGTGTGTGAATTTAAAAAAGAGACATTTAGTAGGAATACTGGCAGGAATCATTGTCTCAGAGTATCTGAACAGGGGAAACCATGAGCCTTTTGAGTTTAGCTGCTGTATTGATAGCTCAAATGCCAGTAAGGCCAAAGTAAGGCTTTCTGTTCGCCGCAGGCTTGAAACAGATCTGTGGTCAGTTGTTACTCTACGCATGGTAGTGTAAGCTGCAGTAGTTTGCTCGGATATCAGGGCCCTATTTCAGATATTTGTCTTTTGCATATGGTCTGTCCCTGAAAGCTGCTTTGACACCAGCTTGTTGCTCTTGTCGCCAGCTGTGGTCTTTGAAGCCTACATAGAAGTTACGCCTCCAGAAAATAAAGAAATCACTTAAATTAAGTTCTTATCTGGTGCACAAAACAAGACTTTAAAAAATGGATGAGAGAAAATTTCTAAGCATTAAGTGACTAATGAGAGACTATGTTCAATTTGTTACCCAACCATTTAAAATTGGAGGTCGCACCGATAGCCAGTTTAGGCATTTATGCCTTGGTATGGGCATAATTCTTTGTTCCAGCACTTTGGATTGCTAATTTCTCCCTTCTTTTACTAAGAACTGTGCTGCTGAATGTGTCGTAGTCAGGAAGATTACTGTGTACCGCTTGTAGTATACATCACAGTTTCTAAGAAAAATACAATTCAGAAAGTGTTTTATTGGTTGTTTGATGCAAATAACTTCTGATTGTTGGCTCTCGCCTTTAAAGCAGATTCCTAGGGGTGACATAAATGTTATTTAAATATAAAAAATGAAACAGTCTTTACTTGTTGCCACCACACAGTCGAGACAGCACAAATTCATTTTTATTTTTAAAATACTTTCTAACATTTCAGAATTAAAATCTAAGGCATAAAATTCAGGTTATTTGAGCTTTTTTTAACCTGCCCAAGATCTGTGGCCAGGCCTGTGGCAATCCATGGCAGAACAGTGGACTGATGGAAGAATGTTGTTCCTCTGCCACCAGCCAAACTCTGAGTTT